CCTAAAATAAATATTATCTGTCACAATGTGTTTGCAATGTTTAATTTAAATTATATGCTAATTATCTAAATAAATATTTATGTTGCATAGCCTTGAGTGATGGATATACTGGCAATTTGTATACTTGCTGCTGAAAATGATCGTTATTATTCTCTATGGGCAAGAAGTGAATTAGGATTTGTTTTTGGTTGGTGGGGTTTGATCCATCTAATTTTGAAATGGCATTTTTAGTCCTATTGCATAAAAACACTGGGCAAGAAGCAGAGTATAGGTTGGGAATTACTCAACTCTCTATGCTGCACCTGATATTATTGCATTTAATTTAATGATCACAGGTTTGGTACGAATGGTGTGTGACATCTCCAAATGCATCTCCTATGCACAACTCCAATGGTCGCTCACACTGGGTCGGGCTCTAGGGTTTCCTAGGCAATGTTGTGGCAAAAAGATCCATTGCCAGAGGCAAGCTGGAGCAAGATGACCCAAACTCTGTTGTAGAGAATTTTGAATGCAGTTCTGGACAACCACTGAATGAAGTGAGTCCACAACATCCCATTTATCGGCTCTATAAAGCCTTAACACTCTTTTTCTCTGTTCCAGTTTTCGCTGTTCGTACAATTGGGTATTGATAGATCAACGTGTTTTACTTCTGTTGTACCAAATGGTGGATAGAATTTTTACTCGTTATTGTAGTTTGTAACACGTGTCGTTTAAACTGTAACATCTTTTTCTACTCTATAAAGCAGTTTAGTTGAGGCTGAGTTTCTCGTTTAAGCATTTTCACTCTTGCCCACCTTTTGTTATACATATTGAGAGGCCGGGATTTTTAAATTCTGAAATCAAATTCTCCTCTCTTACGGTGTTACTCTTTATTCCGCTGCCTTGTTTGCCCCTACACCAATGCTTCCGTTAGCACATTACTCGTCAAATTCTGAGTGAAAATCTACTCCACTAGAGAGAATTATGGATCTCAATCAAATTCCGAGTGACAATCTAATCCGTTAGAGACAGAATTATGTGTCTCATTTCGAATCCTTGACTTCAATACAAAGCACAGTATAAAGATATATACTAGATACCGTTATAATGGAATTTAAATATACCATTCAATGGTAGTTGGGGAGCTACATCACCTTATAAAGAAAGAAACAACATGTGACTATTACAAATTTAAAAGTACAAAAGGACTATTACATCACCTTAAAAGAAACAACAGGTGACTATTACTTCACCTTAAAAAACAAACTGAAGTTTAAAAGTACCTAATGACAAATCTACCAATTTGATAATTCGAAAGAATAGATAATTACCGTCATGATAATAATAAAATTAATGGAGCATACGATCACCAACAAAATTTTTGTCCATAATGGCCAACATTATTACTAGTAGGATACTCGTACGAAATCAATATGTTGGTGATTCGAATGTAACTTTCGACAGCAATACCATTGGTGATCGTTGACTCACCTCTATCAGTAATTATCAGCGAAAATGTAGCCGGCGATGTCAAGCAATCACCGATTGACTTTCACATAAACCCGATGAACAAGTTCTACTAAACTCACATAGGAGGTTGGACCAAATACTCGATGAAGTAGTCTAGTTCGATTAGTATGATTGAAATGTTTACCAATCGTCATGTGTTTGAACATGACAATCTAGTCGGTTTTTACAAAACACAGTGATCAATATCTTTTAGACATTTGAATTTTACGATAAATTTTCAGAAGTCCTTATTAAAGAAATTATTATCGACAAATTAAAGTTATTAAAAATTATGAACTACAATACTCGGCATAAATCTATATTTGTTAATGATTTGGGAGTGAGTGATTACCAACTCATCTCTGTCCATAATTATCCATGATAATGTTAATGGTAATCATCAATAGTAGGGCGCGATTTGGTTTGGTTTGGGTTGGTTTTGACACCAACTCGAAACCAAAACTAAATTAGTTAGTTGGATAAATTTCAACCCAAACTAACCCAATCTAGGTTTCAGTCGTATAGTCGGTTTGAGTTTTTGTCCAAATTTAATCTTTTTTTAAAAAAATAGTCCCAAGTTTTGGGCTCACTTAGATTACATATAATTTTATTTTTGATTTATACAATGTTTTTATTTGAAGCATCTCTAAGAGACTTTTTAAATATGAGATACTCTCTATTTTAAAGAGTCAACCTTTAAATCATACTCTAAGATACTCTTTAAATTAATATTTTAATTTAAAGACTCACTTTCTATAATTAATGCATTCAAAGTATGTCAATTCTCAATGTAGGAAAGTAATAAAATAATCTAAAAAAAAGTCAAGTTAAAATAAAAGATAAAGAAAAATAATAAATATTTTTTGAAAGTAGAAAAAATAAGTGTTAAATATAAAGAGTTTGTTTAATTACTTCAAAATCTTAGCTCTCTAAATTTATAGATACTTTCTAAATGATAGAATATGCTCTTTAAAAATAGAGAGCATATTGAAGATGCTCACAACCTATAACAACTAAAACAGTTTTGGAATTTCAATTTTCAAATAATGAAAATCATTATCTCAACCTGTATTTTCACAACATGTAAATTATAATTAGTGAGTCAGAACATAACATGTAATTAAAAAGATTCAATATTATAATAAATACATAACCATAGGTCCCTAATCATTGTCTCAACCTACAAGTAAATATGCTATATAAAAAAAATTAACTTAAAAACAAGGCCTACCAACCAAAATAGAAGACAACGTTTATAACGGACATAAAATAATATCAATGTTTCCTTTAAAGTGTCCTCATAAAATAAAGTGTCCTCATATAACTGACATAAAATAGTATTCAATAAGATTACTCAAAGAGATAGCTTGGGCATCTCCACTTTCAGGAGAACATCATTAAACTTTTGATTTTGACTTTTCTTTTTTCGAAAAAAAAATAAAAATGGAAATATGTGAAACTGGGTTGGGTCGGTTAACCAGCTGTCTGAGGCTTTAAACTATAGCTGAACCAACTCATCATGGTTTTGTTTAAAATGAAATCAAACCAAACCAAACCAAACCAAAACAAACCAGTTAACTATGTCAAACTAAGTCGATATTTCTAATTTTTTGCCCAGGCCCAATCGACAGTGCTTTGGTCGTTGATCATACAGTAGAGAAACATTTTTTACAACTTTCATTATTTTGTCGGTAACTTAAGAAATCTTTTATTTTATTGAAGTTATTTTCAAGTCTTAATTGTATTAACAACGTAATTTTTGTCTGTTAATATTTAATTTTAAATACTTTATTTACTGACTAAATTATCATCAATAAATTTAGTTTATTAAAAATTAACGATCACTCGTAATATTTAATGGAAATCGAGATGAATTATTATCAATACTATCCACAATGTTAGTGGCATTCATCGATATTACTTTGATCGTTTATTGTCGACAGAAAACATTTATTCTTTCTTTGCTAAATAAATCTTTTCATATTTAAAGTTTATAATAATATAACCTATATAAAAATTATTTTTTAATTTTAGTTTTATTACAAACATAATTTTCTTTTGTTAAATCATCATCAGCCAATTAAATTTGTTACAAATAGGAAATCTATTTGTAATATTTAATTATTTATAATATCTAAAAATATTTTATAAATTATTTATCTTTATTAATGATGAAAATTCTATTTGTAATTTTAAATTATTATTATGTAATATGTAATTACAGCATAATTTTTAAAATGTTATAAAACTAGAGGAAAAAGAGATACAAAAGAAGAATAGATATAGTCAAAACTCAAGTTTGTAAGTTTGTTGCAATGATGGACTCATATTTATGAGGTTTAAATGGAGAGTTACAATCTAAATAAAATAGACTCTTACAGAGTAAATAAGATTTATTTAAATATCCTGATAAGACTAAATGGACATAAATAATTATCTCATAGTTTTATGACAAACTACCAAACAAATGAAAAAATAGTACAAATAATTATAACAAATAGTAGCAAAATATTGCCTATTAATACTTGTCATGAAAATTCAATGGGACAAGACTTAATCAAAGAAAAAAAGAGTAAAACTTTTCCCTTGATTTCAATAAATAAAAATTTTTGTATCGAGTGATCTAGGTCTTGTACAACACTATTTTAAGTATCCCAATTCTGCTAAATATGTTTCATTTTTTCTTGTTATTGCATTCAAGGAATATTGTCTTCATAGAAGATTTTTATCAATCTTTGTTTGATTTTAGAAAACATGACGATTCATTGAAAAAAAGATTTTGTTATTGCTTTCTACGAGAGTCATACACAATTTGTAACATATAAGAGGACTATTTTAAGAGTAAATGTCTTGTAAGTTATAGATATTTATTGCACAAAGAATAATCCAATTTAAAATCATACTAGAAAAAATTCTAATGAAGAAAAAAGAGTACATTATTCGCTTTAATATAATACAAAAGTTGTTTCATTAGAAACCTTATCACAAAAATAAGTGGGACGAAATCTTGATCAAGGAAAAAAGAGTACAACATGTAATATGTTTTTTGCCAAATGAAATTTCCCAATGTAAATTTCAGTCCACAAAATGCCAAGCCTTGTAATTTCTTATCTTTGATTTGTGAGTTGAACCAAAACAAACCCGCAGAATGTGCACTTTTTAAATACACTAAAAGACACTCTTACTGGTATAAAGTTGAAGTTTTCACCAATAGACTTGAGTAGGGTTAAATATAGAAATATAATATGGAATATTTTCCATTATAATATTTCTTCTTAGAGTAGGATTACTTTCCTTAGTAGTNGGAATATTTTCCATTATATTATTTCCTTTTAGTGTAGGATTATTTCTATAGTAGTTGATTGTGTAATCTTTCCTTTGATGGTTATTTCATTTTACAGTTATTTGTAACCCTATAAATAGGGTCTTTTACATTGTAATATTTACAATATCATAATAATACAATTTATATTTCTTGACAAGTAGTGTCGGGTTATTTTGCCTTAATATTCTTGACATTCTAATCACTAATCTATAAAAATTTCCCTGTTCTCGTCTACCCCTTTATCTACAATTTTATTGAATTTAATTGATTAAAACTAAATTTAACATAGTGCGGCTAATATATGAAAATCGAACAAAACGTTAAATTTTTTGATATCAAAATTTAGTGTGATCGAGACGTCGACAAATGCTTGCACCACAATACTTTCCCTTTCCCAAAACAGCCCATTGATAGCGTCCATGGGGGGTTTTTGTAAGACCCACACCGACTACTCACACGTGAGGTGGGGGAAATTTTTTTTTTTACACTTTTACTGAGGTGGATCTTACACTTGGCTGCAACCTAAAGTGTCTTTACACCATGACTCCATTTCTTACACTTGAC